AATGCCCGGCTATTTTTGGTTGCAGCCGTCATTGTTGTTTGGCAGGCCCGGGCTGGATTTGAACCTGCCACCTTGGGTATACATGGCTGGTGCCTTAGCCACTTGAGCCACAGGCACTGAGCTGACTTTACCTTCTTTTTTAACCCCTTCCCATCAGACTGATCAACACCTACACAGCCTTAAAACCTCGCCTTACACAACATGTACTCCAGAAAAACTTCTCCGACACCTTTAAATTCAGCTTTGGCAGCTCATATGCAGAACCCTGTGCTTCTCCTAAGAGCACTTCTCCTGCTAAATTGCTTCTTTGTCAGCTTCCTCCATTAACAGGCTTCATAGGTCAGAGAATAGGTCTGTCTTATCCATCGTTGTAGTGCTAGTGCCAAATCGAACACCTGGCACATAATAGGTGCTCAAAGTATCTGTCAAGTAAGCCAACTTCATTTGCTCATGTTCTCTCGATAGTCCACTGAAAAGATCTAGAGTTGATTCTACTTCAAAGATCTAGAGTTCTTTGACTCAAAAAATATATGTTTATGCATAGAGTGTATTGATGTATATATTATAATTTATAAAGCTTATTCACTTTTGATAAAAGAATAGTGCTGTTTGTATACATACACACTATTGTTACTACACACTTGCATTTTTTAGGAGAAAATGTATTTTCAGTGTTGTTTGGTTGATTCACTATTTCTTGAAAAAGAAATTGTACAATGCATATGGCCAATGCATATGGCAAAATTTTGGTAATGCTACCAAAATTTCATAATTTTTTAATATTTTTCAATGGACCTTTACTAATTTTAACTTTCAATGAAAAAGTTCTGAAACTGTAATGGAATTCTCAAGTATCTAAGCTTGGTATTTTAGGCTCCAGAATAATTTAATTGCTAGAATGTCCTAGTAACCCAGACTATAACATGTATATAAAATACTTTGTTATTCTTTTTAATAAATAACACTCTTTCGCAATATCTCTTCTGACTCCTGATAGCATGTTCTACTTATCAGTTAATGGTTGCCACATCCAGTTTGGAAACTTTCAAAGCA